AATAGAACGCTCTAAAGTGCCTTTATCGTAATGTGACAACTCTTCGTATCGATTCAGTGAAGCATTTGCTTTCGCAGCGAAATACAAAGCCCACCGCAGCAACCCACGCGCCAAGTCTTGGAAACCAAGATCGCCGAAGACCCTAGCGCAAATCAAGCGCCATCCTAGCGCCTCCGGGAGCGCGCAAACCATTGGTATTTGCAGGACTCCGCTTTGTATGAATGAAAAGCTGTACAAAGCGACTGCGACGGCGGCCTCTGTAGACTAAGCTCCCTTATTAAGAATTTTGACCGGGTCGCACATGTGTTTTATCTGAACAATCGCACGCTTCACCTGGAACACAAACATGTGCTCATGTGGAACACACTCATGCGGTCGCATGCCAAAAGACACGTGTTCACTTGGAACGCGCCGATGTGGTCAGCTGGAACACACAAAGACGACACAATCATTCACTTGAAGCATGCTGCCTGTGGCTTGATCAAGCGCACGCGCGCGCGCGTGCGCGCGCTCAGACACGCGTTTCTGAGCCTCAAACACACGTGCCTGCCCGCGGAACACACCGCACATGAATCCGTGACGCATCTAGGCTGGGAGACAACAAGAAGGAGACAAAGGGAGATAATTGAACTCGTCCAAGCGGAGAGACAGTGGGAAGCAAATAAACCCGTCCACCCCGAGAGGCAGCCAACCGGGGCCAAATAAAGGGAGATAAGGGGAGACAAATGAATCTGTCCATTCAGAGAGCCGTGCCAGGCATCCAGGCTGGGAGACAACAAGACAAATGAAGGGAGACAAAGGGAAAGAAATGACCCTGTCCGCCCAGAGAGCCGTGCCAGGCATCCAGGCTGGGAGACAATGGGAGACAAATGAGGGGAGACAAAGCGTCCACCCAGAGAGCCGTGCCAGGCATCCAGGCTGGGAGAGAACGGGAGACAAATGAAGGGAGACAAAGGGAGACAAATGAACTCGTCCACCCAGAGCCGTGCCAGGCATCCAGGCTGGGAGACAAAGGGAGACAAATGAAGGGAGACAAAGGGAGACATAAACCCGCCCAGAGAGCCGTGCCAGGCATCACCCAGAGCCGTGCCAGGCATCCGGGAAGGGAGACAAAGGGAGACAAATGAACCCGTCCACCCGGAGAGCCGTGCCAGGCATCCAGGCTGGGAGACAATAGGAGGCAAATGAAGGGAGACAAAAGGGAGACAAATGAACCCGTCCACCCAGAGAGCCGTGCCAGGCATCCAGGCTGGGAGAGAACGGGAGACAAATGAAGGGAGACAAAGGGAGACAAATGAACTCGTCCACCCAGAGAGCCGTGCCAGGCATCCAGGCTATGGCATTGTAATAGGCGAGTCACTTTAAATGAATTTAGAACCCCTCACAGTAAACTGCTTGGGGAAAAACCAGAAGAGGGAAGTTGAGACTGAGGATGACTTGAGCAAGCTTGACCAAGCTTTCCTTTCAGTAGACCCTTTCCAAGAGGGAGGCAGGTCCTTTTTGAATGACATGACCAGCAGCAGCCAGCCGCCAAGGCCTGAAAATCCAGGCAAGAAGCATGAAGGCGCAATGACAGCTGACAAGCTGTGGAAGACAGTGTCATCTGCCATGACAGCCTGTTCCAACAAGAGCCTCCAGGTTGAGGAGTTGGCCAGGGAGCTCAAGGGAAATTCTGGTTATGGGAAAGGCATCAAAGCCACCACCAGCCAGATGCAGAACAAACTGGTTCAGTGGCAAACCTCCCTCAAGGACCTGTATCTCAAAAAGGACTTTGGGAAGAAGGAGGAGACCTTGAAGTTTTTGAACACCATCCAGGAGGAGATGAAAGGGCCCATTGCATCTCATGCATCTTTGCTGAAACAGCTGGGCAAGTGAATGTGTCAAGAGCCCACCGTGCTGAGGCCAAATCTGTTGATGGTGCACCCACCTGTGTTGCATTTACTATTCTTTAGGAAGGGCCCATTCTTTCTCCTGATTTCCAGAAGCTACAGCTTGGTGGGCCACAGAGATCGACCTATAGACGCAATGCTTTGCCTGCGATAAATACTATGTGCTGCACGCAGGCTCATTCCTGAATATGTGTCATGGTTCATGCCCATCAAGTATAGGAGGCACAGCTGATTTTGAATTGGTGTAGGTTTGAAGCTTGGGGCCAAGCTTGCAGCAAGTGAGCATTTCAGTTTGTTGGTGCACATGTGTGCTTGGCAATGGCTCAGCAGGAAAGACTTTGCAAGTCTCAAGCAATTGCAAAGAAGTTCCCAACCCAAGTCTGGCAATAACAATTGCTTTGTTGTAGCTGACATTTTTGTGGCCGCTAGCTAGCCTTCAGTCCCAACCATGGTGGGGCATTTGCAAAGAGCACAACATGACGCTGAAGATGCCTTGGGGCCAGCAAGAAAGAAGCAGAAGGTCCTGTTGTCCAACTCCCATGAGCAATCTGCATTTGCCACCTGCTTGCTCAACAAATGGGCTTGGGGAGTTTTGTCTGCGCCTGATGTGCAAGAACTTGCCCACGCAGCTCTGTGTGATGGCTTGCAACACCCTGAAATTTCAGAGATTGCAGCGTCGGGGGCCTATGGCAACAACACTGGCAGCATTCACCGGGATTTGACAGCACATTTTGTCAAGGACTTGGTGGCACCAGCTGGCAGGCTTCTCACAGTCCCTGGGAAGGATGTGAAGGGAGGAAAAGTTGCCATTGAAATGGCATGCAAAGTGGTGTTGCCTTCAGATTGGCTTCTGGCTATGGCCAGCCATGGCCACTTGCATGAGGAGCTGGAGCTAGCGTTTGGCTATGGCACTGCAAAAGAAAGATTTTGGGATCTGGTTGGTTCAAAGTTTGACCATCCTGCAAAAAAGAAGGGCGCTCAAGGGATCCCATTGCTGGTCCATGGAGATGGTGCAAGGTTTCAAGACAAAGATAGCCTGCTCACAGTGTCCATGTCAGGCTTGTTGAAGCAAGGCAGCATTCTGACACCAACTTGATACTTGCAAGCTGGCCAAAGAATTCTTCCATAAGGCCAGTGTGGCACTTGGTCAGAAATTTGGGAATGGCTGGTGTGGGACTTCAATGGCTTGTACCACAATCAGTTCCCTGCATTGGACCCATTTGGCAACCCATTGGATGGAGAGCTTGCTGAGAGGGCTGGGAAGACAATTTTTGCAGATGGCACTTTTTTCTTTCTGCTCGGTGTGCAGGGCGATATGGATTACCTACAGAATGAGCTGGGCTTGTCACATTGGGCCAGTGATACGCCCTGCCATTTGTGCCCAGGTGGAAAAACAGTGGCTGACAACTGGTTTGACTTCAGGCCTGCAAGCAGTTGGAAGAAGAAGCCTGCCTCCACACCATTGCCAGATCACCCCCTTTGCAAGGTCATAGGTTGGAGCAGAAGGTCTTACTTGCTAGACTGGCTTCATGTCAATGATTTGGGTGTGGCTTCACATGCTTGTGCAAATGTGCTGTTTTATTTGGTGTACTCCAAGCTGAAGCACATGCAGAGAGCCAATGCTGTGGCCTTGCTGGCTGAGTACATACTAAGTGTGCAGCCTGCCCATGGAAGCAGGCTGACCTCCTTGGAGCTCAAGAATTTTGCCACCCGAACAAGCCCCACAAGGAGTATCCTGAGATGAGGTTTCTGAAAGCTGCCAATGTGAGAGCCCTTGTGCCCATTTGTGCAGACCTGGCCAGGGAGCACCATGATGCAGCTGATGAGAAAAGCCAGCACATGCTGGCTATGATTTGCAATTTGTCCAAGCTGTATGACATCATGCATAGCTCTGGACTTGTGATTCCTGAGGCTCCCCATCGACAAATGGTGGAAGCTAGTGACAAATTCCTGCTGCATTACAATTGGCTGTCCAAGGCAGCAATTCGGAACAAGACCAAGATGTGGTCAGTTGTTCCCAAATTCCATTACCATTATCATTTGACTGAAGGCTTCTGGGGTATCAACCCCAGGTTTTTTTGGTGCTATGGTGGTGAAGACCTTGTTGGTAGAGCCAGCAGCCTGTGCCACAGCTGTGTCAGAGGCACAGCTAATCATGACGTTTCTGCAAAAATGCTGGAGAAGTACAGGGTGGCAATGCATTTGAAATGGACCAGGCTAGGGTGAAAATTAGTTGCAGCTGCTTGACTGTGTGTGCATGTGCAGGTGTGTCCTGTGCTTTGTTTTCTTGCTTCGTAGCCACAAATTGAAGCACAGATGTTCCAGATCAAACGGAGTTCCATGGTAATTGGATTGGCTGAGACATGCCATGTTGCTTGACTGGGCTGGCCTTTTGGAGGAGATCTGCTGGGGAGGATGGTGGGATCAAGATTCCATTTGGCTGCAAGATGCCATTTCATGACCAACTAATGTTTGTTTTTGGAGACAGCTTGCGCTTGAAATTTCATGAGAGCCACTCTTGAAAATTATGGGCAAGACCTAATATTGATTTTTGATAAAACCAATCTCTCAATATTGAAACTCAAGAATTTTCATGGCACGCCTGAAATTCAAATGCGTTTCATGGTGCGCTTGGTTTTTTCAATCTTAGAGGGTTTGGGTTGCGCACTGTCCGCAAGCCCAATTCACGCACAGAGCCAATGTTTTCTGCATCTTGCCATCCCACAGCTCTCCTGATTTCAGCATTTGTCGTTGCTTTTTTTGGCGCGCATCCATGCATCTTAAAGCTATCTATCTGTCAAGCTAGCTATATGTCAAAGCTATCTATCTGTCACGCTAATCATCTTTTAGAAAGCTATCTATGTGTCAAGCTATCTGTCATGGCCATGCGTCGAAGCAGCTAGCTTATTTAGTTCCAGCTTTACGGAAGTTTCTTGTTAAACTTCCTTTGACAAGTTGCTTCATGGATAACAGCCGCGCAGCTTGCGAACGACAGCCCTGTGTCTGAGCAAGGGCCCGTTTGGTTGCGGTACGCCTCCATACTTACGTTTAGGGGATGAGGGTAGGCGAGCAGTAGGTGCTTCCTAGACCTGGCAAACGCCTGCTGCCAGCTCCTCTTTCTCCACGGCAGACACGACGCTCACAACCTCGCACAAAATGCCCACCAGCATGTTCATCACCGTCAGCGACGCCAAGAGCATGTACCTTGGCTATCAGCGTTGGACAAGCGTGCCCGCCTGCCCGTGCCCAGGTGATGCTTCCCTTGCAGCACTTCCATGTGAGAAGAAGGCTAATTACTGTAAACACAATCATGTCCTATTGCCGGCAGGGACTGTCTCAGAACCGGCGCAAATCGAGATGGAGCTTAGAACAACGCTTGTTTCGTTCAAGTGACCTTCTAAGAAAGCCCATTGGCGGGTCCCTATTTTCAGACAAACCCTAATATAGCATTCCACCCTTCCGCTTCCCTGAGAATCCACGTCCCAATCACTCACGGCCCTCGTCTTTCTGAAGACCCGTGGGATTTCAAGCGATCGCTCTTTTTGGTGTGCCCACACCGAGCAAAATGGACGGAGGTGATTTGCAAGCTGGAAAAACGGGGAACGGCAAGGACCCCACCAGTTTCTTTTAGTTGTTTCCCATAAACCAGGTACAATGGAGGTCAAACACAAAACCGGAAAAGAGGGAGACGGAAAGGGAAAAGAACTGGGAAACTGGAAAACGGTTTTGGGCGGGGAAAAAAAACGCGGGCCCCAGAAGATCCGAAAGAAGCCCACCCAAAGGCTCACTGCCTTTGGCCGAAAGGCAGAAGCATCAGCGGGTACAGCAGGAAGTGGGAGGCCCCGGCATCCTCCAACTCCGAGTCGCGTTTGTCAGTTGATTTGCTGAGAAAGGGTCTGGGAAAAAAAAGAAAGAAGTACCCATCCCCTTTGGTTTCTTTTCGGGGAAGGAACATGGAGCCCTAGGGCGGGGCATTTCCTGAAAGGAGTTTCCACTTTGGACATGATTTGGCTTGAAAGTGGTTCCAAGAAAAAGGGTCCATGTCCCCTTCAAAGGTGCCGTTCTGCCATACTTTGGGTGTTTTTTTTAGATTAGTGGCAGCCCCCACAATTTGCGAGATTTACATGTGGTATCCCTTTAAACCAATCCACAAATCGGTATCTTCATGTTTGGAAGGAATGGCTTCGGTTTCCTTGTGGTTTCCCTGAACACTCACTTGGGTGCTTCTTTCAGGAGGGAACCCCTCGAGACATGGCTCAACCCAGTTGATGTGGTAGATTTCTCCGGTGGGCGCAGCCCATTTTCCTGGGAATCCGGGTGAATCTTGGGGGAGTAGCCAATTGAATCCGGGCGCGCAGCTTCCTGGACGCGCCTCTGGCTGATTTCCTCACTCGAGTCCCGAACCTATTTGCTTTTTGGATCCTAGAAATTAGCCCTAAGGGGTCCAACAAGAAGTCCTTCACTTCTCCAGGCCGCCGCGCACGAAGTCGTCAGCCACTTTTCTCCTCAATCCATCCGTGAGGCGTAGCCTATTTGCTTTAGCTCGAGCCCACCCTTCGTGTGAGCATCAAGATTCAAGAACATGGCATGTGCTTCACATGCCCAAAAAGGGGGAAAAGAATTTCCCAAGGTCTTCACCCGATGCAGTCTCTGCATCGGGTCTTTTCTTGCACTTGCCTCTCACTGATGTGATGACAACCGCGTCGATGGTAGCACTTGCCGTAGTGGGTCACGACCACGGAAGAGGGCACCGCGTTCTTCCAGTACTGGAGCTCAAACGATTGCTCCTGGTGCTTCTGCCGCAGGGCCGAATACTCCGGCCGCTTGTCACTCTCGGTTGGCGTTGCCACCTCCAGCTTCCGCGTGTTCTTCACCTTCTCCTGCTTCCCAATGATCCACACCTCCGTCACTTTCACAATGCCGTAGATCACCGCCAGGATGACGATGAAGACTCCGACAACAAAGATCACGTCGATCACCTCGTCGCCGCTGTTCTTGTAACCCTCGACCTTCCGAATGTAGTCATTCGCCACCATGGCCACCAGCGAACTTGCCACCGCGCTGCCACCACTCGTGACTGTCCTTTGCGCCTTCCGCTCCTGATTAGTCTTCTTCTTCGCTGCCGTGAAGTTGCCGTCGTTGATCAACTGCATGTAGCCTCCACGTAGATCGTCAGCCAATGACTGCCGCGCCGCCAGCTTCGTCATTCCGTCAGCCAACTGCCTCTCGGAACTAACCCACCTCAGTCTGCTTCCGGTCCAGGTCAACACGTCCTTGATGCAGAGGATCTCGATTGCTGCCCTCTTGTCGCCTGCGTTCTGGATGGTCTCCCGCTGCGTCGCATCACACAGAGCTCGAGCGTCCACCACCGTTGCACTTTCGCCAGCTGCTTGCACCGTCTCACTCTTTCGCAAGTCCTGGTCCGGGTTCAGCATGAGGGAGTAGAAAAGCTTAGTCAGCGTGAGCTCGTCCAAGGCTGTCGAGCACGCTTGGCTTTCTGCAGACAACGGCAGTGGTTCTGGTTCAACTGTAGACGCCCTTCAGGATCTTGGCTCACTGGCGTCATTTTCCTGCTCCACATTTCTCGCATGCGCCTGCAGGAATGGCACCACAACTCCAGGAACCGAGATCACCTCGGCTGACCCCGCCGGTGATGTTGGCGAGGCTTCCTCATCAAAGTCCAGCGCCTCCGGCTCATACATGGCGTCCAGCTCATCTTCGTCCTGTTCCTCGTGAATCGTTGGGTCAAAGACATCCTTGTACTGCGTGGTAGATCGTGCTCGGAGTGCTATAGATCTTGTAGTGCAGCGTTGGGATCAGCCACCAGCGGGATGCCCGTCTCCTCCACTCGAGGACGTACTTGATGGGGCGAACACCTCAACAGTGATGTTCCATGCGCCAGCCAGATCACGAGGTCCTTGTAGTCGCTGTCCTTCTCGGTAGCCACCACTCGCGCAGGTCCTCGCCATTTCTGCTTTTGCAAGATGCCCACGCCCTTCTCTCGCCAGTAGTACACCACCTGTCCGATGACCACGTCATCCTTGATCTGACGGTAGTTCTGATTCATAGCTCTCCTCAGTCTTGCATCACTGTCTGCTTTCAGGAATGCCATCTGCGCTGCAAGCCAATTCTGCTGCACCGCCGCAAACTCACCGGCCTCGTCAATGGCACTGACCGTCGGGCTGAAGATCTCTCCCGTGAGGGACTGCACCTGGTTGGGGTTCTTACCCATCACCCATTGCTGTGGCGTGAATCCTCGCACCATGCTCATCGAGTTGATCTGCGAGGGGACATATACACAAGCCTGCAGGAGTCCGCTATCATTCTTCTTGCCGGAATCCTCCATGTACAGCTCCAGTGCTCGTCTCACCACTTGGTGCTTTCTCTCAACAGCGCCCGACCAGTTGTGGCTCTCCGCGGGTGCGATCTCCAGGGCAATATTCCGCTCTGCCGTCCATTCTCGCAGAGCCTTGCTCGCCCAGCTCTTTGCTTCGTCTGTGCGCAGGTACTTCGGGATGCCAAACTGCTTGATCCATGCCCGTTCGACACCCTTGATCAGGTCCTCCGCCTTCTCGTTCTTGAGAATCCGGACCGCAATGTACCGCGTTGCTTGGTCTTGGATTGTGAGCACGCAGCGTCGTCCTCCTTCCACTGCAATCCAGGCCGAGTCCACAACGATGCGGTCGTTGAACTCTTTGCTGGTCAATCCAGCAGCAGGTGGGACACCACCTGGTCGTTGACGAGCAACACACTGTGGGCACAGATACTCCTCGGCCGCCTTCAGCACATTCTCAGTCGCCTGCACTTCCATCAACATCTGCTTGAGCACCGGGGCAGATGGATGTCCCAGGTTCTTGTGCAATCTCTTGACGTAGCCGAAGACCTGGTTCCCCACTTTGGCCTTGAGAACCTTGTTCTTCTCAATGACCTCCTGGTCTCGTTCTTCAGCTTGAGCTTGTTTATCTCGCTGTCCATCACCTACAGGTTCTGCTGGTACCGCGGCCTGACTCACCGGCTCCATCACCACGTCCTCATCGGCAGCATGGATCTTGTCGATATCCTGCGCCGCCATTGCCTCAGCCAACTTCCTGGCTAACGCAATCGGGTAGCTCTCCGCCAACTTGGTCCTTGGGCCTGCTCCAGGTGCATTGCCTTCCAGTGCTTGATGTGGCTCACCGCATTGGTAGGTCCTGCCAACCTTGTGGTAGAGATGCTTCTTCGTGGTGAGGAACTTGGTCGGCTTCTTTGATGGTCGCACAACTCCTTCATCATCGGGTACCTTGAGTCCATAAGCGCATTGGTCCACGTAGGTCTCATAACCCGGCAGCTGATGCCATGCTTTCGTCATCCACGCTCTGCTGGTCCAGGGATGCTCCAGCGTCACCTCTCTGCTGTTGTTGTACTGCTCCATGTACACCCTTTTCACAAACTGCAGCACGTTGTTATGATCTTGCCGTCGAAGTTCCACCAGCTTCTGCTTTGCCTCGGGCGATCTGCTCGCGCTCAACTCTTGCATCTGCGACCACAGTCTGCACATCGGTGCCATCAGGATTTCATCGGGCTCCTCTTCTCGCACGCGATCCAGGAACTTCGCCTGCACCTTCCTGTCCGTCAGGTCCCAGCCAGTGTGTAGGGAGAATACCTCCACTTCGACATTCTTCATCTTCGCAAGCACCTTGCTTGTCCGGCCTGCCCCAACAAACACTTCCCAGATCTTTCGCTTCTGGGCTCCTTTCTCGCAGTCCTTGGCCTTTCTCAACATCCTGTTCTGGGTCGCGATCTCCTTCTCCGCCCCAGTGATCATGGTCCTCAGCTTCTTCTGAGTGAGGCGGCTCGTCTTTTTCTGGGTCTTCAAGTCCAACTCGGCATCAGGCTGTCGCCTGGCATCAGGCCCTCCACGTGGTCCAACTGGGATGTCGATCCACTGTCCATGAGGCCATTTCATCCGCTTGTTGCCGTAGTCGATGGACACCTGCATCCTCTCCAGGATCGGTCGGCTAATGAGGATCGGCACAGTCCCGGAGATGACATACATCAACATGCGCCTCTTCTTGCCGCCCATGTAGGTGGGCGCCATAACGCATACCTGTGAGTCACCCTTCTCCTAGTTGCCGTACTTGAAGCTCTTGGTGCAGGGATGAACTTGGATCTCATCCCTGGCAACACCCTTCTCCAGGAGGTACTTCAGGTACTTCCGGACCTGCTGGCAAGATGCCAACAGTGATGCTGCACCTCCATCCTGTACGGCCACATCGTCACTGTCCGAGTCGTCCTCGTCTAGATGGTAGATCTTGTGGTCGTCGTCCTTGACATCGTCAGCATCCTCCACCATGTTAATGTCGGCATCCTGGTCCGCCACGCGCTTCCTCTTCTCCCCAGCAGATGGACAGTTCCTTGCCCAGTGGCCTGGCTGGCCACATCGCAAGCACAACTGCTTGCCCACTGCAGCCTTGCCTCTTGCCTTTGCCGATGAAGAAGCCGTCGGTGATGCTGGTGCCGATCTCGGTAGGGATGATCCTCCGCCACGTCCATGCTTTCCACCACCAGACTTGCCCTTCGACCGCTTGCCTTTGCCCTTGTCCTTGTCCCGGCTGCTACCTCCCCTGGCGTCAACCATCGCCACCACCGGATAAGATCCTCGGGAAGTTCGCATCCGGTTCATCTGGTTCTTGGCATTGATGTAGGCAGTATAGACCTCATCATACTCCTCCACATCAAAGATCTCGGTCTCTTCCGTGTCCTGGACCGGCTGGTCGAAGTAGTCCTCATCCTGATCGTTCCACTCCTCGTCATCGTCACTGTAGAAGTAGATCTCGTGTGGGTGCTGCGGGAAGTGGTTCACAGAGGCCTCCTCAGCTCCCCAGTCGTTCGTGTAGTACACATCCTTCCGGGGGCGCTCCGCCTTGCTGTCCTGGCCGATAAAGAACATCGCCTCCTGAGCTCTTCCCAACGTCATGTTGTCCGCGCCCATCATCGTGAGGACCATCTGGCGTTGCTCCTTGGTCACTCCAGCTCTCCGGATAAACATCCATGACAACACCTTCTCGGGGAGTTCCACCCGATGAGTGTTCTGCAGTCTCCTCTGCGACCGCGCAAACTCCGCCGCATACTCCTGCATGGTCTCACCAGGTCGCCGCTGCAACTTCACGAAGAAATTCTCAAAGTCGTCCGGCAGCTCTGTCAGTGGCTCGTGCTTGAAACCTCTGTCCAACCTCTCAAAGATCATGTCGTAGCCATCATCCTCTGCCAGGCGCTCCATGTCCAGATCCTCCACCAAGTCCCAAGCCTTGCCCGTCAGCATCGTGATGATGTTGAAGGCAGTCTCCTTGCTTCGTCCTGCGAGTTCCATCTTCTTGCGATAGATTGTGCACCTTTTCCGGTACTCGCGGTAGTCCTGCTGCTTGCCAGTGAAGGTGGGGACATAGCTGTCAGCACGGCTGTTGTTATCTCCCTTTCCAGTTCCTTTTCCTCCGCCATCACCATCTGTGGTTGCCATCCTTGGAGTAGGTAGCGTCCACGGAGCAGATCTGGTCGTAGAGCTCCGCTACCAACAGCAAGAAGTCCTTCACTTCTCCAGGCCGCCGCGCACGAAGTTGTCAGCCACTTTTCTCCTCAATCCATCCGTGAGGCGTAGCCTATTTGCTTTAGCTCGAGCCCACCCTTCGTGTGAGCATCAAGATTCAAGAACATGGCATGTTCTTCACAGGATCCAAATAGGGGTTTGGGATACCAGAAAACCGAAGTTCAGTCATGACCTGGGAATATTCAGCTCCTGTCATGCAGATGCCTATCTAAGGAGTCCCGAAACTGCAAGTGCATCTAACTGAATGGTGGACACGGGAGCCTTGCTCCGAAGCCTATTGAGTGGGACTTCCTATGTGAAAAGAGCTAAGGTTCTGTCGGCCCCTTTTGGAACCCCCATCAGAACGCGCGCGCCGTAGGGAGTCCCCCAAAAGAGTCAGGTTTTGTTGACTTCGATGTTTGAAGCAGTGGAACTGAGGTGACCTCGCAAATAGCCAGAGAAAAGCAAAAACCTTTGGCGCTGACTGAGAAGCCGCCAAGTCACTTGCCATCACCACCTGGAGGGTTTACAACCACCGATAGATCCTGTTGGTTCACCAAGTCCATTCAAGCATCCTGAAATTTCCTAGTGGTCTAAAGGGACTTCCCACCCCCAAAGGCCAAGCGAAACTTTTGGCACTCCTCAACATGGTAACCTTCCAGCATGGACCATTTCCCCCCCCCCCAAAAAAAGGAACAAAAACCGTTTCGCCACAGCTGGGTGTCTGAGACCAGGAACCCCCAACCCTGTCCTCCACCAGGGTGGACTGGTCTGGCAACGCCCCGGCCAGCAGTAAGGTATTCATGGCCTGCGATAAAAAAAACGGACGCCTTGGTACGTATGAAGCGGGCGTTGATATTCAGCAACAGTGGTGTAAAAATGCTTGAGCAAGGGCTGAAATGGCCCAAAATCGCAGAACCCCCCCTCCCGCCCAACATAGGCCTTTTGACCACCCACAACAAGAATAGTGCAGGCTGAGACTTGTTGATTCCAGCCCCAGCCAGCGTCAATAATTGGTCACCAAGCCAGCCGGTCGAAACTCTAAACAAATGGGTCTGTCCTTTTTAGGATTCGGGCGCCCTGGTCTTTCAAACCACAAAACATACAATTTGGTTACACTCGGCGGCGAAAATCAGTGCACGACAGCTTACACAAGCAAACCTGCATGAGACGCAAGCGCATTCACGAAGTCAGAGAAGTCAGTGCAAAACTTGCCACAAGTCGCACTGTGACGCAGTAAGTCAAAATGTCCGTTTTTAAACACGAATGTGGACGCGCGATGTGTAAATCCCACTGTGACGCAGTATGTCAAGATGTCCGGCTTAAAGCGCTAATTTGGACGTACGATGTGTGATCCCATTGTGACGCAGTATGTCAAGATGTCCGGTTTTAAGCGTTGAATTGGACGTACGATGTGTAAATCCCACTGTGACGCACTATGCCAAGATGTCCGATTTAAAGCGCTAATTTGGACGTGCGGTGTGTAAACCGCAATGGGACGCAATAGGATGCGCAGCTCGGACAAGTATCAAGTGGGAGCACCGGAAGCAACAAATCCAAATGGGACGCCGCATGACATGCGCAGTATAAGTTCCAACAGGAAGTGCTTCTCACAGCTGCCACGCTCCCTGAAGACACCAAGTTGCTTTTCTCTTCAGTTTCATGTGACGCAAACCAGCCAAAAAAACGAGGCCAAAACGAGGTCTTAACGAGGCCCAAGCGAGGTCCAGAGACTGGGGGGACACAATCCTTACTGGCACAAAGTTGAACAAGGAGAACCCAACTCCCATGTGTTTAGCTGACTTGGCACTCTCAGTCTCTTGGACAGAGGCAGCGTGCCATTGCGTGTCACACAAAATCTTGCCGCATGGAATTCGAGTTCAACGGTACTTTCTTCTTTATGTAAACCCCCACCAGGACGCAAGACGCACCGCCTTCTGGAATCAGTACCCTGCATGGCACACGAAGTTGGACGCAAGCGCACCGACTTTCACTGGAGAGTGTACCCTCAAAAAAATACACCCGCAAATAGATTCCCGTTCAACCTCCTTTTGGTGTGTTTGGTTTTCCCTCGTCCAACGACGCGGAACCTCAAACAAATCGATCCCGCCTGCGGCAAAGTCCCGAAGCTGTCGTGGGCCAGCGAGCCTGCAAGGCTGGTCTTGTTGGAGTTGGGGAGTCATGTCCACCAACCACTTTGGAGGTGGTTCCCCATTGAATTTCATAGCTATATGGGTATGGTTCAAAATTAAACCACCAGGGACCGCAGGTTTTAGTTTTGGGCTCCATTTACCAGGGTTCCATTTTTTGTACCTATTTTTGACCCACACCCATAGAACAACTTGTCCCAAGGCACACGAATCAATTGAAGACAGGTCAACTTGCGCACTCGGATTGTCTCACGTCCCTGGGCATTGAAACGACATGCAAGCGGGGATGTCGGCTGACAAAACATCTCTGATCCACATTATTTGGGGGTTTTCTCTGAACCAAAAAACCAACATACAGTTGGTTCAATTCCGTAGACCCCTCATTTTGTGTGAGAAAGTAGGGGATATTGGGTACCCCAATGTCCTCCTCAAAGTGAACAACCGACTCCCAGCACTATTGTCCGTTGCTCGTCTTTGCAGCTACTAACACTAAGGTCAGAAAAGCGACTGCGAAACATGCCCAAAGCTGAGTGGATTGGGCAGAACAAGCCCAGACTTTGTTTACCACCAAATTCATCTTCCCAAAAAGCTCAGAATCCAGGAGCTCGGGGAGTGAGGGCTGGCCGCTGTAGTAAGAACACTTGAACCAAGAAAAACGGTTGATCGCTGGGGTGTTCATAATTGTTGGGAACAAACAAAGCCCCCCGCTCGAAGGTACCCTCTGGGATATGATCGAAAAGTGCCTGGAACCTTTCGGAAGCGTAGGGGCAAGGTTGGCCCGCAGCCTTTGTCTTTTGTTGTTGGGGGTGGAGGGTGGGGGAAAGGTGCACTTTGTCGGAGTATCTCAGAGTTCAGGGTTACTCACGCCTCCAAGATCGGCAGCTTGAGCTTACCAAGGGAACTCCTAGTTTGACCCTCGCAAGCCAAGGACAAGAATTTGAGCATGTTCAAAATCCATTGACTGTGATTCTACCATAGGTTTGCACAGACCTTACCACAAACTGCGTAAAACTAGGCAGTAGAACCTATGTTGGCTCTTTGGGGTGGGGGGGGGGGGGGTTGGGTGCGGTTTGGGTGCTTCTCAATAGGCAGAGATTGCGGCGCGAGTCCTCGACACCCAGAATGCCCCAGTCGGATCCTTGACGATGCCTGTCCCTACCATGGGCTACTCTCCAAAGCTTGTCAAGTAAGTTTGACCGTGGCTCATGCAGATTTATGGCTCCTCCGAATGGGGCTGATTGATCCACCCCTCAGGTTTTCAGACTCATTTGATTTGGCTTGGCAAGCTATGGCGGCACAAGTCGTTTTGCAATCAACAAGCCATGAAGGGGGACTTTCCTTTTTTCGATTGCTTCATGCATGTAACACATACTTCATTTTTCACAATGTGCATATATTACAACAAGATTCATGGTTCTCAATCCTGATAAACACTAGAACTGCGTCTGTTCCCTCAAGCCGGTTCATGCCCAGCACTACTAATTCCAATCGGGTATGTGTCAAAATATAGACACCCCCAAAAAAGTGAGTGGTTTGCCTTTTGGGGTCCCTGTAGACCAATCCCAAACAGGCTACCCTCGAAAACCACACACACACAGCACACACACACACAGCACACACACAGCACACACACACAGCACACACACACACACGGCACACACACGGCACACACACGGCACACACACAGCACACACACACACACACAGCGCACACACACACACACAGCACACACACACACACACACACAGCACACACACACACACACACGCACGCACGCACGCACGCACGCACGCACGCACGCACGCACGCACGCACGCACGCACCCACACACACACACACACACACGCACACACGAATTCCCCGGGCATGTCGGACAAAGCACATCGAGTTGGCCCATCCCCCGCGCCAGCGCCTGGCGGCTGGTTCTTGCCGTCCATCAGCTGGGTGAAGAGTAGGGCAAAGACGTAGACCAGGCCCAGCAAGAGAACCATTAGAAAGAAGACCTCGGAAGAAAAAAATGGGTTCGAACCCCTCGACTTTTATCAAACAACCACCTAAGGGTCTAAAGGGGCATTTGTGTGCTTGTTTTTGGAGGGTACTCTGTTTGGGTTGGTTTAAACGGAAGCCACCAGGAAAAACATGATCTTCGTTCTTTCTTTGGTTTTTTTAGGGGTACCAATTTTGACACGTAAAGTACCTTGGGAGGATGTGGCCAATGACCCCTTTTTGTCCCTTAAGTACATTGAAAGGTTCCGGACCGGACCCTCTGGGGCATGAAAAACAACGCCAGGTATTGAGCACTCCACAAACCCACAGGTTCCACATCTTGAGCAAGACAACCAAGCAAGCAAGAAAGCAAGCAAGCAAGCAAGCAAGCAAGCAAGCAAGCAAGCAAGCAGCCAAGCAGCCAAGCAGCCACGCACACAAGCAACCAAGCAACCAAGCAACCAAGTAGGCAAGATTTGAGCAAGGTGGCAATACACCAGATTAAGATTTTTGTTATCTCAACTTGCATCAGCACCTAACCAACAGTTTTGCGAGAGAAGCTGTGCCATGGATAGGGAAGAGACAAATGGGTGTTTTACCCGTATGTTGGGATTGTTTAAAGGGACACCAAGAGGAAACCCACATGTTTCCGGCAGAGATGTTCTCTCCAGCTCTTCGTAAAGCCATTACCTGGGCAATGGGGGAAATGGAGGATTCCTCCACGGTGCGAAACATGTGGGCTTTAGTGGCTGGGTCGTTGCAATCCAACGTCGCCGAAATTGACGGGTTCTCCAAATCTCGAAATTGGTTGGGCGTGCCACCGAAGCAGACTGGCGAGCGCCTGTGCATCAGGACTCTGAGTTGCTTTGTGCCTGATCAGCAAAACGGCATCTTCAGGGGAATCTAGGGTATAATATACATATATATATATATATGTAAATGATACATACATACAATACGTATATATATAATATGTATGTTACGCTTGATTATGTGGCTACGTAGTGCTGGAATCCCTGATTAAATCCCCCAGGAGAAGCTATCTTAGAAACAAGGAGGCCGTCCTCCAAAGGAAACTCGACACGGCAAAGCAGTTATCTAGAGATTAAACTGTAGCTCTGTAGCTTCCAACACCGCAAAAGTATGCACCAGAATGCTTGGGTGTGACTTGCTTGATTGGCTTTTTGAGTTTGATTGAACTAATTTCCAGAGCAAAGGTTTGGGAGACCTGAGATGACTCAACTGCCCAAAAGCGTGCACTTCCGGGCCTTCATATCCTAACATGAAAAATATGCTCGCCATACGGTTGAAGTTGCCAGCTTGAAAAGATCAGACATACCCTCACTTCCTGCGTGGGTTGGTGAACACTCCGTGGGATTGTGGACGTGAACACAGCAACCCACTCGCCAAACCTCGAGACTGCAAAGAAAAGCGCTCAGGGAGTGAGCCCAGAAGCAACTCATCAAAAGCTGGCAGTAGCACGGTCTACCCAGAACCGAGTAAATTAGACAAACGGATATCCGCACCTATTTCTGGCTGGGATGGTTGCTTAACCTTTGATTGTGGCAAGTGCCCGCACTCCAACAATCACGGAAGCTAATGATCAGAGGGTTTGTAAGACTAAGTGGGGCTCTGTTGTTGAGGATACCCTTTTTGGGGTGGTGTTAAAGGAAACCAATCGCAAAACAACCTTTTGTTTTGGGGGGGGGTCACCTATTTGGAACAAACCCCAAGTAGCACTCCCACCCGCGGGGTAAGCAATCCGATTGCCGAGCTACGGATTTCAGAGCGATGGCGATGGCGCGCACGATGATCCTCGCGTTGGTCGTTGTTTGTTGCAAGGGCGACCTTTTCTGTTGGGGCTGTTCAGAGAGACACCGCAAGGAAGCCACACATGTGATTGTTACTTGTTTACTGATAGATATATGTTTAGTTATGGTTTCATACTCGGTATGTCGTGTACTCATCTATGTATGCAAGTCATTAACTGTGTTTGATGTGTCACCCTAATCATTCATGTATCTATGTATGTACTTCTGAATGTATGCGTTAATGCAATGTAATGTAGTGTAATGTCAGGTAATGCAGTAATTGTATCTATGCATGCATGTATGTATGTACGCATGTATGCGTGCATGTATACATGCATGAATGCATGCATGCATGCATGCATATATGAATGTATACATGCAAGTGTGTATGTATGTATGTATGTACGTATGTATGTATGTATGTATGTATGTATGTATGTATGTATGTATGTATGTATGTATGTATGTTATGTTACGTTATGTAAGGTAATGTAATGTATTGTAGTGTAGTGTAGTGTAATGTAATGTAATGCAATGGTATGTAATGTAATGTATGTATGTGTGGATGTGTGTGTGCGTGGGTGTGTCTGTATGTGTGTATGTATGTATGTATCTATCTATGTATCTATCTATGTATGTATGTATCTATCTATGTATCTATCTATGTATGTATGTATGTATGTATGTATGTATGTATGTGTATGTATGTATGCATGCATGCATGGATGGATGTATGTATGTGTATGTATGTATGCATGCATGCATGGATGGATATGTATGTATGTAGGTAGGTAGGTATGTATGTATGCATGCATGCATGTATGCATTTGTGTATGTATGCATGTATGTATGCATGCATATTTATGCATGTATGCATGTATGCACGTACGCATGTATGCATACATGCATGTATGCATGCATGTATGCGGAACGTATGTACATATGTGTCTGTGTGTTTGTACGTATGTTGTCTGTCTCTGTCTGTCTCTGTCTGTCTCTGTCTGTCTGTGTCTGTCTCTCTGTTTTTCGTGTTTAAGCATGTATCGGTCTATTGATTATTGCTTGTTCTATTTTCATTTGCCTTTTGTTTTTTTAAATGCGTCTGAATTTAGTGAATTTGTTTCATTATATTTGGGGGGAACGGGAGTTCACTATTTTGAGACAACCCCACTTGAAGTAGCTGAGATTCAAACAAACAATCCACTCACATGTGCTACAAATGAGGAATTAGCAGCCGCCGAGAAAACATACACCTGCACATGGAGCAAAACTACCTCAGCGTTTGTCCGCCAAAGCAATGTCTTTAGACTCTCTGGCTAATACAGTGAAGCTAAAGCAGGTTCAATCGAAAAGTGAAAGTCCCAAAGGCGGCTGCCAAAAGCTTCTGCTTTTCGGCCCAAAGTCAGTAGCTCCGGGATGCTGCGGAGCAATCGTGCCATGCGGGCCAGGCGGGTAAAGCGCAGCAGGCGCAGCAAACGGAAGCCTCAGTCGAGCTGCTGCGCTGCCCAAGTCGATGGGATCCAAGGAGCTCCAAAATCCAAGGGCGTTTTTGGCTTATTGGGGTTCCCCGTATTTACCTAGAGGAGCGCGTCTTGTTAGGATGTGAGTTTGTTTGAAGTACATCCTGGAAAGTGGAGGTTGTTGTTTTGAGAAGATTCTTTGCAGAACCGCTGGTGCTTTACGTTTCCATGTTGATCAGCCATGGAGTAAAGCTACAAGTCTCACTCTCTGAGTGTGTCACCCCTCATGGACTCGCAACATTCTGGAACCCCAGAATGCTTTGTCCGCACTCCACCATGGAAAACACATGTGCTTTCCCCTCAACTGGTCTTCCCAAAAAAGTTTTAAAGTCCAGAAGCTCGGGAAGTGAGAAGTGCTGCACCCTCCCCAAACGAACAACTCCTGTAACAAATAGGGAACTGCCAGAAACTCTTCGCAACACTGCGCCTGCCCTGCATCTTCTCACTGGGCTGCCTACTGGAACCTGCCTAGCTTTGCCTGAATATGTTGGGGATGCGCGCCTCAGGATGGCTGGTTTTCCATGCGCGCTTTTGTTTCTCCTTTAAGCCTTCCCCCGGAGAAAAAAAAGAAGGTGTTGAGTTGCGGGTCTGGAAGAATGAACCAATCACCAATCCCCTTTGAGTGTCCTTGGGAAAAAAAGCTATGTCAGGAGTGTCCACATAGTTGGGTAACTTCCATCCTTCGGGGTCCCTTTTTGTACATGAAGCAAGGGGAGCGGGCAGGGCCGGGGGACCGCTCCAGATATCTGTCCTTTTTTCAATCATCCCAAACTGGCGCCAAAGGTGATGTTCAAAAGAGGGATATGCCAATTATGAACTTCGATATTTATGTAACCTCACTTGAGTGGTTGGTGGACATAAATCCCCCCGAATTGTAATGCCCGCCAAATGGGTGTGGGTCAATATTCTGGCGTGGAACGTTCCGCGGTGACGCGGACGTCTGGAACGAGTCAGTTACGCAAGGTCGGTTGTTCCGGACCTCTGGGAAGACATGCGTGGAGTCCTCAAGCACACGTTCATTTAGTGTAAGATGGATAGATGGATGGATGAATGGATGGATGGGTAGATGGATGGATGAAGCGACCAGGGGTGCACGGCCTCACCTCCCTCCTTCGCATCATTGGGACACCGATGCGCTGTAGTCAGGCCCGCCACCCGCGCCAGCCGATGCACAAGGCTGGGAGGCGTAAGCCGATGTCCACCGATGCGCACGCCGATGCAGGGCATCCTTCAAAGACTTCTTTGTGTCCAAAGCCCTGGCACATGCCGTCCTTGAAGGCTTCTTGGGCGGCGGGTCTGGAACACGTCTGGCACGGGTCTGGAACGGGGTCTGGAACGTTTACGCGAGCGGCTTGCACTTTGGAATGCTAGCATGCAGCATGTAAACATGGTCGTTTCAACAGTGTGACGACCGAGAACGGTATCAAACCGCTACAGTATCGTATCGAACCGATAGCTGCGGAATCGTATCGCACCGAACCGAACCAAGGTTCCGGAACACCATGCCGATATATTTTTTCTTCATTTCTTTCTCCTTCTTTCTTGCTCCACGCCATTTCAGTCTTTGCCATTGCACTTGCACACCCAACAAAGAACGACCATCTGAATCAATACTCTATACAAATATACAAAAACAGGGTCTGGAACGGAAGGTCTGGAACATGTTTCTAGGCAAGGTCTGGAACGGAGGTCTGGAACGGAGGTCTGGATCGCATGTGGGTTCCGGACCCTGTTCCGGACCTTATAAATTGACTCGCAGCCAAATGGTCGAACCACTTGAATCCCAAACCTATATGTGTCAAAAAGGGGGCATGCCCCAAATGGTGGCTTTCCTTTGGGTGTCCCTTTAGGTCTGTCTTTTTTAAGGGACCCCTAAATTGCTTCGGTTGTCCGGGGGTCCCACACAAAAAAGGACAGACCCACCTGGGGTGGGGGCTTGGGATGTGTTTCAACATGAAAAACCGAGAGGAAAGCAAAACAATGGGGAAATCGGGGAACCTCTAAACTTGGTTGACGTTGGAAGGGGAGCAAAAAAAAGTGTTTAGCAATTCAGTGGGGATTTCCCACCAAACCACAATTAAAAAGAAGAAGAGTAAAACGGTTCCCAACAACAACCATGAAAATGTGGTCAGATCCACCTAGCTCCCGACCCCTGACCCCCTGGGCCGTCGGGAAGGACGTCTCTCTGGGTCGCCGGGCGCTCAGACCCGGTGCCGGGCGCGAAGAGCGCAAGGCACAGAGACAGCACCCAGGTCTCAGACCACATCAGCCTCACTTCGGCTCTGTCTGTTTTTTCGGCTACCCCTTAACTGAGCTGTCCTCATATCCCCCGCTAAAAGTTTAACTTTTAGTGGGCAAAATGGAAAACGCCACTAAACACTAAGAAGCTAAATAGCTTCGAGGATGGCTGGGAGCCACCAAGTTAAAGGGGTGGAGGTTTAAAGGGAAGCCGAAATGAGACCAAAGATGGCTACCCCTTAAAGGGCTGGCTTTAAAGGGAAGCCGGGATGAGGACTAAAGATTTTGGATTCCACGATTTTGAGCCAAATGTGTCGAAATAGCTGTGGAGTGGTGGGCGTTCCTTTTGGCGTGCCTTTAAACCCAAATTTGCACAGGACAAATGATCACAACCCAGGTCCAGGTGCCAACTAGGGGGTCTGGAAGCAGCACACATTCATCACCTTAGCATCCAAACATCTTCATGCTCAACTCTACCACCTAGGCCGGGTGCACAACAGAAGGTCTGGAAACAAATAAGCATCCCCCTGTGTTCTCTGTTGGGGGAAATGCGCATTTCTCGCCAGTTTCAAGGATTGGTTCAAGACCAAGTTTCCCAGAATAACGTGGAGCCTCAGGAAACAGCTCCATGTTAAACGAACAAACAACAAATGGGACATGTACCCCTTTGAGGTTTCATGTCAGAAAAGGAATGCTTCAACAAAATCAATACACTGCATTTAACAAGATTATCATCATTTAGGGCACGAACAAGTCAAAGCATTAACATTGTGACCCACCCGCTTGCAACATTTGTTTGAGGAACCCTTCGACTCGTTCTCAAGAAAAGCCGATGACAACCCATCAATTTCCCCTATGAGACAAACCTGCTAGCGTTACACAAAAGACCGGTTGAACATCAAAGTATCGCCTTCTACGATACAAAGGGCTGTACTACTTCTTTTTTTTGGGCTAAACCTCGCTTCTTGAATGACTCCAACGTGTTTGCTTACCACTTGACTAAACCTTCCTTCTTGAGCGGAGTGGCCACAACGAAAGCCGATGTTTCTTGGTGTACCACCAAAATGGACTTCCCAACAAGTAAGCTGAGGACCTGGGAGTGAGAAATGGAACCAATGACTCCAACTCAACACAGCATTGGGCAGCTCGAGGCGACTGGTTGGTCGAAGCCAAAGGGCGATCTGTTGGGAGACAAAGGCCTTAAGGGACTTGTTGCTTGAGACGAGGTCTTGCCAAAATGACGGTTGAGACGAGGTCTTGCCAAACTGGCGGTTGCCTTGCCTAAAGGGAATCGCAACTGGCAAGATGGTTTCCCTCGCCAAATCACAGCCGGTCTCTAAGCCGAAAACAGCCCCATATCGGCCCAAAGGAAGCTGCTCATGTCCCGAGTCCCAGCAGCAACACCAAACTCGCGTCGAAGACAAACCAGAAGTCGCGCAGCGCCTGCTTCTTCCTGGCGAGCGACGTTTGTTTGTTTTTTCTCTCCGTGCCGCGGGATATGGCGTCGAAATCCGGAAGAAGGACGGGGTCCAGCGAAATCCTCAAAGTTGCCCTCTTCCAGAGTGGGTTGGCCAGAAAAATGAACTCTTTGCTTACCAAAAATGGTCTTCCAAAAAAGTGACTAAAGTCCATGAACATCCATGAACTTTCAGAGTAATTTTAAAAGGAACTCACCCCGAACCCCTCAAACTACCCCCCTCCCATACTTCAACGCCAAGAGGCATTGCGCCTAAGAACTCGTGACTGATAGACTGAACTCGTGATTAGGGGACACGGGTCATGAATGACAGGCAAGGGCTCCCCCGGCTCTGACACGGCCAACCCCCATCTGCCCAAGTCTGAGGTTTCGCGAGACACCTCAAGTGACCAGTTCCAACGAGGTTGACTTCGTATTGATCCAGACCGTACTCATAGACTTCTCAGCTGTCTACTTCGGTTGGGAAGTTAGCTATTAACCTATTTTTTGCGGGTTCCTCTGATTGGCAGGGTCCTCAGGGATTAATCGGAAGCTTAGACTACCAGCAACAGTTTCCCAAGTAAGCCACGATCACTCAGCGTTTGATGGACTTCGGTCAGCTCGTGTGCGACCGGCTCTGAAGGCCTGCGACCTCCCGGACCCATCGTGTCCAGCCCGGGGCCCAAAGCAAGTTCACATGCTTGATGATCGTACTGTGATTGCTCAGTTGCACACATTTTTGCATTTTTCAACCACAACTTTGAGTAATTCGCAGCAAAAAAGCACCACGTCACCTTGCGCGGTTTATGAGGTGTTGGCCCCGAGCATGCCTGGCAAACTCGTGACCGCTTCATAAAAACCCGTACAATACCACTACCACACACCCCTCCCATCAACCATTCCACCTCAGGTGTTGCAGAAATACATGTCGTGCCTTTACGAGACTCCTTCAAAATGGACTTCGATGCTTTCCCTTTGAAACCAACGAACCAGTGGCACCCAACCCAAAAAAAGAGCCCAGCCAGGCCCAAGGCCGGTCTCCAGTCTCTCCCCGTTCCCTTCTGAGCGATAGGATCCGCGCCTTCGGAAGGCGCCGAAGCGCAAGGCCAGCTCCAGGCTGAAGAAGAGGATGAAGAGATTCTCGATCACCTGGGCTGGGGGGGAAAAACAAACAACAAAAACGTGGGAAACAAAAACCGTGGGAAAACTGGGGGAAAAAAAACAAAAACAAAAAACAAAAAAAAAACAGGGGAAAACAACAAAAACGTGGACAACCGTTGTAAGCTTGTACCCTAGTATCGGTCACTATCGGTGTTCTTTTTCAACCCACCTCAGACTCGACTCGAAGAGTCCCACTCGGATTTTTCTCCCTTTGGAAAAAGATAAACTGCACTTGAACTCTTTTGATAGAACTGCTCGAAAAGCCCGATTGGGAGTCTTCCCTTAAGAATCACTCAACTCTTTTGGTAGAAACTGCTGCTTTTGTCAGCTTGTTTCTAGTTGGTGGCTTGGAGCCCGGTGATATTTTGGGTGACTTTAGAAAGATCCTTCAAAACCACTGGAAGTCTTGGGCAAGGCTAGAATTCTGGCAAACGGACCCAACCGATTTTCTCTGCCCTTGTGGGTTGGTCTTGAGATGAGCAACCCTGGACACTTTGCATTGCCCGCCTTTCGGTTCCTGGATATTTTCTGTCCGATATTACAACTTTCCAATGAAACCTACACTGGGAGTTCAATAAGATAGTGTCCAAAGCACCACCTTGCCATCTCACCTATTCCATGTACGGATGGGCCACTAGACGGCGGAACCTTAAGTTACTGCCGAACCCCGCGAACTACGGCGGTGCAGGGTGGGGTGGGGGGGTTGCCAATTCAGTTTGGAAAAAACAACAGAAGGAACCTGTCATTAGCAGGGGTCCCCTATTTTAGTAATTTTAGTAAACACCCATACTGATTTCAAATCACAAAATCAACCTCATGTTTTGATTGAAGCCGCCACACCCAACATTCGCCAGCACCCAACCAAGAAGGCCGCAAGGTGATCATGCCGCCTTCGTTTGCATCGATTTCAGAAGTAGGCCTTCTCGACGGCTGTCAGAAACTTCTGCCATTTGGAGAACGTCGCCCCAACGCCAAATCAGACAGAGATTTAAAATCACCACTTCGCCATCGGAAGCCCCACGGCAAAAGTATGTGTCAAAAGGAACTCAAAGCCGAACAAGTCGCTCTGTGCTCTCCAAAAAAACCCACCAGTTTCAAAATGCCCCAGGAATAATAACCCCGCTGGTTGATGAATAGCGGGGCATCTTATTGAGGCGATCCTTCACTTTGAGGGGGAACACCCCTCGCACTTGTCGACATCTAAGTCACGATGATCGCGGGGTGAGCTTGCTGAATGGCCGGGGCGTCGTTGATCTCCATCTCAATGCCTCCGCGAGAGCGGAATAAAGGTGTTGAACCAAAACGACCTCTGCACAAGTTGTGCCCCACTGGGGATCCTTTGGTTCTTTAGGCTGAAAAAGCAGAGAACCAAATCTCTAGGCAACTTAGACTGGGGTGGAGGGTGAAGTGGCCTACCTTTCAGACAGAAAATCAGATGGACGGTGTGCTTGATTAGATTGTCTTCACACGTGCCTAGATCTTCGAATCGTGCAGCTGTGGACACACATAATAATATTCATTAATTGACATATATGCCTTTGTTTATTTCCATTTGCGTGTGCACGAGGTATGCATTAGCGCGACTATGACATCTCACATTCAACAGCCTGCGCTTCAGAGCAGGGTACCCCACAGCTGAGAAAGTTGCAGGCGAATTGCGGGTTGAGGTTCTGGTACGAGGGCCAAAGTTTGGTTGGCGGGCATGTGATTTCCAGCTTTAAGCCATGAACACATGCAATAGTCAGGTAGCGTGGAACACACAAGGAGCACCAAAAAGGTACGAAGATGCAAAGCTGCGCATCAGTCATTGGACTGTTGGATACTGGCATCGTTTCGCCTTCAGATGTTTGTCTTTTTGTTTCAGGTCCGCATGTCTTCCACAATCCCCGAGTCACTATACTCAACAATAATGGTGCGTGAAACCATAAAACACCAAGTAAACAAGTTGTATCTACACCACTTTGCGTTGGAGGCAGATGCTCGGGGGTAGTAGAACCGTCTCATGTCTAGCTTGTAGATATCCTCCCAGCCACTAACAGGGAAGCTGATTGGAGGCCGTAAAAAGACATCTTTGCCTCATGAGCAGACTTTCTGTCAGCTTACAAAACCCAAGTCCCCCCTCCCTAACCCTGTTTTGGAACCCTGCAAAGGCCTTACTGGGGTATTGAGTTTCGAATCGAGGGAGGGGTGGGATGGGGTTCTTCTGAACCCTTTCCGAATCTATGGAAGCGGAGTCAATTGGGGAGCGGGAGTTCCTACCAGTTTGTCTAAGGGACCCCCAAACTGAAGGTCTTCCTTCTCGTCGGTCTCCCTTCCCTTTTAACAACTACCAAACAAGAGAGTTTTCCCTCCAAAAAAACGACACCCGCGTCACCCGCCCCCCACCCCTCCTCCCCCTCCCCCTCCTCCCCCTCCCCCCCTCAGCCCTCCTCCCCCTCCCCCCCCTCACCCCACCCCCCTCCCCCTTATAGGCACGCTCGTGGGCGCTTCTTTCCGCCTGTCCACAGGGCGTTGCTGGCCAACGCCGCGAAGGTCGCCAGCTCGAAGGCGCGGCTCCGCGCCACCCGCTGGCCTGCGGCGCGGGGACCAAAGCGGCGCGGCGCCACCGCCGCGGCCGTTGGTTTGGCATGGAGGTATAGCAGCGTTTTGGCATGGAGGTTTTGGCATGTTGGTTTGGCATGGAATGGGCCCCTATTTGTCTTAGCAACTAGCAAACGGGCTTCGCTTCTCACCAACCCCCCGTTTATGGTTTTGGACACTGGCGTGGTTGTACTTTAATATGTTGAACGCGCGTTCAGAAAATGCGGCCAGCTTGTGTTTGGTGTAGATGTTTGTGATCTGGTGCGCTGTCCAATGTGCGTCTAGGCACACAAGCTTGTTCTCAACGTGATTTTGACGCATGTCCAGCGCATGCAAATGTTTTAAAGGTAAAACACCTGGATCTAAGCCTTTGAATGTGGGCCATCAGCACAAAACTGCACCAACATTCATGTCTTCACAGCTACACGGTCTGCATGGCCAAAAAACAAACCAAGAATAGACATGGAACGGCCCCCAGAAGCGATATCATCACACATCAATGTCTTGACCTTGAAGTCCCGCGTTGGCTTTGAGATAAAACAAGACCAAAAGGAACAATCGGCAGTCCAGCCGCATCGGCTGGCATTGGTTGCCATGTCCGGAACTCGTTTCGGCCTGCAGGCGCAGGATTGGAAAGACAATTGAAAGAGGAAAAGCTAAGAGAAGTAGATTACGTGGCGGGGGATCACTGTGCATCACCACTTTTTTGCAGCCAAGGATGCAAAGCCCTTTGATTCATGACCGGTTAAACGTAAGTGCAACTCATGCAACCAATCAATGTAGATCCGTCTTGGGCTAGCCTTTTTCACCAGTACGTCTGACAGGAATTCATCCAACACAGCTCGACACTGACCTGGGCTTTGACGACTATGTCGTGGCAAAATGGCTGACGTGTGCTGGCAATTAGGGCTGTGCTTTTGAGTTCCCAAACTTGAACAAAACAATCTCCAACAGCGGCATTGAAGTATTCCGCGTGTGAAGGGGTGGCGCTGACAAGTTCTGTCTGTTCTTAAGCTGGACGGCCGAATCAAATATCCCAAACCACCAACCTACCAGAGAAATGTGGCAGGCATGAACCGTGAGAAGAGGTGTGCCACGTCAAGACGAACAGCAAGTTGTGCTGCATGGCCTATCCTTAAACGATCGTTTGCTGGCGCTCAAAGTCTCAGCGTGTGCAACTCGACAAAAACAGAAGACACTTGTTTACGTCCAACGCACCAAAGCTCCTGTTCGTGTAAAACCTGGACAAAACAGAAGACACTTGTTTATGTCCAACGCACCAAAGCTCCTGTTCGTGTAAAACCTGTGTTTTATCGGTTGAGAAAGGTTTCAAAGCACCCAAGCTGTATTCCGAAAATCTCTGCCACGTCTGCACATAGGATACACGGGCCCAAAGAAGCTAGGAGTCTAAGAGGGCTTCCGCTACCTCCCAAACCATTACCCCCCCCGGGAGAAGTGGGGCAAACAACCACATAGATTTTCTATAAGGGATAACATACCAAATTTCCCTAGGTGGAAACTGAAAGAAGACTCCCCACAAGGGCGGTTCGCCACTGAGACGCTGAGGCACCGGCAAAAGCCTTCCGTGTAGTACAAAGAGCACACGTCATAGGTGTCCTGAGCTGTACGGATGCCCTCTCATCTGTGAAGCCTGGTTTTTGTGGTCGATGGTTGGGAAACAGGAACCCTCAAGTCATTCTCAGTGCATCATGGGTTTTATGCTGCATGGTTGGTCTACTTGCCATGTATTTGGAATCGGCATCGACTGTATAGTCGTCCCTCAGCGCTTGTCTTGAGTGTTGGAGGCAAAGGCTCCGAATAGACCGCTCCAAGACCATGAACACATCGTGCAAATACGGGGCTGCAAGTGAACAGATTGAGTTCTTTTTTCGCTGGCGATTTGGAGAGTTCCCCATGTTCCTCCCTCCCAAATGGATCAAAGATTCCTGGAGATTAATGGACCAAAAGTTCTGGAAATGCTGACCTGGTATTAAGTGTTGTGTCGCAAGCATGCGCCTCCTTGCAACCATGCTCGGACACCCTTCGCTTCCAACTCCCACTCTGGTGCCCTCGGCAACAGCTTGCTAGTTGCAGCTGCAAACATATGCTGCAAGTGCCATGCAGTTGCTGGAAAGGATCTACGCAATCGGTGTTGGGGGAGCTGGGTCCCCAGGGGCAACCTCCTTCCCCCAATTCCATTACTGAGTGAGTGGGCATGTAAACACTTAAAGATATGAGCTTGTGCTTTGAGAACATGTCCTTGATTGAGTTGCTGATGTTCAACTGGCACACATTGCACGTTGGCATGTTCCACTTTCAAATTTAAACGGGTCGCGCGTGACAGATGCATCCTTCCCCGACGGATACCCAAAAACAACTGTAACGCTGTAAATAGTTATAGCGGGGTACGTCAAAACCAATCTTAGTCATGATTGTGGAGGTATACTAGTAAAAATGACGGCACTTTCATAGTACTGCGCTTCGCATAAAACACCATGCATGGAATTTGGGAGATGCTTGAGAAAAGATCACTACATTCCGTCTTGCGAGCTTTTGCTGAAAACCGGGGAACTTGAAAGGCAAACCAAATTGCATCACAAGGCGCATGTAGTTGAATCTTAGGTGCATGCCTGTATCGTGATTTTACTCCTGATCGTTTTAACGTGCGTGGCAAGCCAGGCTTGTGTATTCTGGTAATTCAAGGAAGTTGAACAACCCAACCTACATTCCACTCATCAAACTCACCATGCGGGCTACTACAGCCGCTCGCCACAAGTAAGGTATCGGGCGACCCCAACGTGTTGAATCGGTCTGGAAAACACATTCTTCCTGGATAGGTTCCTCTGCAGTTCTTTTTGGCAACAAGACTTGTCATTCTTGCTCCCACTCATATAACACCTTGAGTATGTAGAATATCAATTACCTCTTGGCATCAGCCAGGTGCCATGTTTCTGTGATGGGGCTTTGGGTTAGTTCAGGAATGGGTTGAAGGGCTTACGGGTGGTTTCGGGTTGGTGTAGAGCGGGTTTGGTGCCACTTTAGAGTGGGTTTAGGGATTGCTTAGGCTTGGCTTCGGTTTAGGGTGGCCTTAGGGTTCCTTGTTGGTTGGCTTAGGGTTGGTTCGGGGTTGGTGTAACCCGGGCGCTGAGGGCGAAAAACAAGATCGGGGTGAACAAAAACGTGGGTGAAACAAAACAAGGCCGGCAGCGAAAAGCACAAGGTGGAGGGTAAACAAAGAAAAGGAGAGGAGTTCGCAAGGTGCACATAATGAATCCACTATGGGTTTTGGCCTGTCTTGCTCCCGGATCCAGCTCGTCAAGAAAACCTGCGCAGACAAACGCCGCTCTCCGTCTATTCACCAACAAGCCAACCAGCCAAACAACCAAGCAAACCAAGCAAAACAACCAAGCAAACCAAGCAAACCAACCAAGCAAACCAAGCAAACCAAGCAAGGAATCAAGCAACCAAGCAATCAACCCAGAAATGCTCGTAGTCCGACCGCGCCTTGCTCAAGTCTTCCTTTAGCTTCTTCTTCAGCGTGTCCGCGTCAAAGAACACCGTATGCCGATGCTTTTCGTTGCTCTTAGGTGAGCTTCCTGTCCTTTTCCGACGTGAGACGGGCGTCCCACCCGAGTCCCCGATCAAGCCAACACGTGGAATTCGTGTGGCCCACTGCATAGAAGTAATCTTCAGATCCTGGTCCATATTTAGTCAACCCTGCAAATGGAGACCCCAGATTCGTTTTAAGGTGCCGCGAGGAAAGAAAAGAATGGCATTCCGCTCATGACCATATTTATTTCCTGGCAAAAATCACAAGGGCGCTTGATATTCTTCAGGTGAATCGCAACAAATCAAACCAATCTGAATCTCTTGATCATGTGTGAGCCTGGGTGAGGTCGCGATTGAATTTGCCCTGGAAAGATGCATCAATCGGCTTTCCCCAAATTCGTGGTTTGGGTCAGTTTTAAATCTTGGGAGGGGGGGCTCTTTCTTTTGCGATTCAACTTTCCCACAACAAGCGGTCCATACCCCTTTGACCACAAAAGGGAAGCATACACAGAGGGTCCAAGTACAAGAGGATGTACTTCGCCCGACAGGGTACTTGAACCCGGGTCAAGCTTTCTGTTCGAATCTGGAGACAAAACCGTAAGGGCTTGTCTCAACACAAGTGCCGAAGCCACAGGGGGCCAGCCCAAAGCAAACCCAGGAGCATCAAGGGATCCTGTTTTAGTGCAGCCGCCCATTTTGAGGGTCCGATCCGAAGCAGCAAGAGTTGCTTGGAGGGCAAAGGAAACTGAATCTTAGCTGTTAGAGTTTGCAAAGCCCTTGCCGATTTAAGGCAGTTTCCAGTAGCTCACCACCTGAGTGAACAAACAGAGTCCGAACAGCTTGAAAAAACCACCAAAAGGGTCTTCCCCAAAGTCTCTAGAAGCCAGGAACTCAGGTGTTAGAGTTGGGTCAATCTTCTCCGCATTTCGCGGGGCGTTAGAGTTGGGCGGTGGCCTATAGGTCAACGGGTCAACGGTCCTCTCGTCGTTGGCGCTTCTCTTCGCGAGCTCCACCGTGAGGCGATGGGCGCTCACCGAGTCTCGCTCCCTGGCTGCTTGCAGCCGTCCGCGTGGTTTGGTGGCGAATTGGAGTGGCTTCCCATTTACCCTCTGGGACATGGACCGTTTGCTTTTGCTGGGAACCCCAACCCCTGCGTTTTCGGAAAATCTGCCAACTACGGCTAGGAATCATGAAGTAGTTGTTGGTGGTTTTTTCTGAGAGCGCCCCAAAAAACGCTGGTTTGAAAGGAAACCCAAAGGAAACTAACCATGCCCCCAATTTTAGACAAACCTTGATTATTTTCACCCAAACGGGATCCAAGTCATTCACATACTCCAACAAATGAGCATGGACGCAGCAACAGAAGTCAAATCGACTCCATGCTTTTCATCACTGAGCTCTTCCTTTTTCCAGAAATGTCAGGGTTGCGTTGGGGAAATCTGGTCGGCAAGAAACCAAAGGAAGCGACACCAAGGTTGTTCCTTTCCCTTGGGGTCCTGGCCGCTGCCCCCGTCAGGGTGTACCAACTGGCCCCTTGGCACCTTGAGTCTTACATCCTCAGGCAAGGGAACCTCTCCTCTGGGTTTGTGGTTTGATCAGTTTAGGAACGGAATGAATTTCTTCCGTTTCCATCCGTTTCCCTTCGGCTGCCCGGACCAAGCCTCAAACGGTGTGCCAAAGATGGGTGACTCGTTTTTGCTTGGGTTTCCCTTTTGACCAGTTTCAAAAGGGTACAAAACCCATCCCCAAGTATGCCCAAATTTCCCCCATCCCCCCCAAAATCCCCACCCCCCACCTCCCCCCCCCAAAAAACAAAACCGGCCTCGCCATTCCAGGGTAACTCTCCCCGATTTCGATTTCGGCGCCTGGGCACCACCGAGGTAAAGCCCGGGCTGAATGCCACTTTCGAGCGCCGCTTCTCCCCTCGCCGCCGCGAGATTCGTCGCTTGACGCGGTGGGGGGGATGGGGGGGCGGGGGCGGGGGGGGCGGGTGGAGGTGCCATGGCAAAAAGGCGGCCGAAACCCAAAACCTTTCTTCGGAGAGCCTGGGATTCTGGGAAAAAGCAGACCATCTACAGCAATTGAACCCAAACGAGCAAAAATCAGATCGGTTCGTATGTAGTGAGCGTAAAATGTAAAAACATCAAAAGGGATGCCGAATCTCGGCAGATGATGCTGGTGATGAGGAGGAGGAGGAGGAGGAGGAGGCGGAGAAGGATGAGGATGAGGATGAGGATGATGATGAGGATGAGAAGGATGATGATGAAGAACTGGAAACGAGGAACCTTCATGGGTGTTCGCTCGTTTTACCCCCAGATGTACGACCGAACTTACGGCACCGAACCCCAAGCAGTCCAGTCTTGCCCCTCCCCACACGCCCACAAATTGCTGTGTCGCTTTTGGGGGTGCCCTCAGGGTGCTTCTGAAAATCGAAAAAAAAAACCCTGAAAAGACACGTTTCCTTTCAGCTTCCCCAAGCCGTCCAAAGAGGGCGCCAACCTTTTTGTCAAACCACAACTGCGACAAAAACCGAAATGCGCAGCGCCCAAACTCCCGCTCAACGACCCACCAGCCACACCGCCTGTGACGTTTGCCGTGTCCGGCAGCTCACCGGGGATGCGCGCGCCTGACGAAAACAGACGGCGGGGTTGGCTGGTGTTCGACGGATACCAAAGGCCATCAACTTGACGGTCAAAAGCTCGGTGAGCCCCGAGTGAACCTCTCAATCCCCACCAGGATAGACTGAAATGGGTGGTGCACCTGCGGGATGGTACCATTGGCTTTGACAACCACAGCCATTTCACGCACCCCCCAACTGCATTTCCCATCTCCGAAGTCCCAATCCAAAAAGCAATGGTTGAGGGGGTGCTTGGGGTGTTTGTGCCTTGTCCCCTTAGTTGTTCATGTCCCTGAGTTGTTTACTTCTCATAAACGTTTTTTAGGCAAATATCTCAGGGCTCAACTACCTCTCCTCTTTCCGGTGCGGGTTTTCTGGCACTCAATCGTTTAAGATCGGATACCTTTCCTGCTGCTCCCTGGTGCATGAGCGCATGACCAAGTTGCACTTGGGGAAACGGATCGCTTGTTGCACTCCTCGAAATCCCCCTAGCAAGTCGAGAGGCCGCTTGCTGTGGTGATTGGAGATCTCATCCTTTGCTGACACCAATACGGCTATGCAAATGGATTGTGTAGTTTGTGAAGTGTTTGGGTGTTTGTTGCGTCTTTCATTTTCTGGGGGGGGAGGACTTGACAGCCATTGGCCCTAGGAAAAGTATGATGCCAACACATTCTATGGGCAAAACGACGCACGTATGACAAAGGTAAATCCGTGAGGGCTCGGTGCTTCTGTTGCAATGGGGACTCGGGCAAAGACAATCTAGTTCGGACACAATTTACGAGCGGTATCAGGGAACTCAATAAACTTGCCACAGAACCAGGGACTTTTCCCTGACATGGGTGTGTCTTAAGAAAAGGGAACCCAATTTGTTTTACGTTGGTTTCCCTTTAATTTATTGCTGAAATGTTGAGCCATCTCCTGCAACTCACTGCCAATCTTATTCGCCATGATCTGTGCGATGGCAATGTTCGCCACATGATTAACAAATAGGCTTCCCTTCACCACATCGACCATGCAATCCCCTCGCTTGCTCTTGACAAGTACCTTGTTGCTCACCAGATCGAGCCTGTTGACCGAGGCTTCCAGAAAAGATGTCCTCAAAAAAACAGACCCAAATCATCTGTGCGTTCTGCATGGGCTCCCTGCACTGCGTGGGTTCTCGAAGCGGGAATCCCCTCTGACAGATTTGGAGAACCAACATGAAACCAACCCTTTGAAGAGGTCTCCAATAGTCACTAGCCTTTATACCTAACATTGTGAATCGCATTCCTTGTGAGCATTTGTGAAGGCCTTGTTGCTTCTCAGGCTGGTCTCCATCCAATAACAACTATCACCTGCTTATGGCCATGGTCGTAGGGGTTGAGCTGAAATCCACTATCTCTGTCGCAGGAGGGGTGCCACTGCGTGTGTCTTGCTGCTTGTTGATAGCCTCACGCAGAATGTATTGGTTCTCATTGGACTCATAGACAGTACGACAACCAAGCTTTGCACCAATCCCTGAAGTCACCTGGGTTTGATGAACTTCCCATCTTGTGTGGGTCTGCCTCGAAATAGGAGAGCCACCAGCATGAGTGATTCCTTTTGATGTAAACCGCACCAGACAAGTTTCAATCAACAAAGAATACTCGTATGTTTCCATACCGAGAGGGGCGGGGTTAAATGAAGTTTGTTCCAGTTGGGTGCTCATAGGCTGGACGAATCTCATAGCTGATGTCTCTTGTCGCGCAAACTATCCCGTTCACGCTAACCCCTGGCAGACTCACCTGTGTTGATTCAAGGGTGAAGGGTCTTCTCCCAAACATATTTTCTCCAAATGGTGACGCTGTTGACACACACTGTACAGGCCTTGATGATGAATACGGGGTTGTGCTGCACTCTAAAGCCAAACTAGAAGTGACTGTGGGACTACAGACATAATACTTATTTAGCCCCATGTATGTTTCGTGACTTCATGTCCACATCTCCCCCTCCGGCACCTTCGGACTGCTCCAGCTGCGTGCAACCCGAGATCCGCCTCGGGAATCCGTGTCTGTCAAGCATGCTCCCCGTGTGTCTTGTTTCCACACCAACCGCCTCACACGGTTCACTTCTGACCCGCGGAACAAACAATTTGCTTTCTTTGCGCGTTTGCAATATCATCTCTTCTCAGAAAATGATTAGAGCCCACAGCCAATGAATCGCCCTCTATGGCGGTGGTTCTGCAGTAGGAACGACAAACGACAACAGGAGCTGCCTAGGTTGACAAATGGGCAGTGTGTTTTTCTTGGTGCTCGGGGCCTATACACTGCACACATGCCTACGCGAGCGCCTACGCAACGCCTCCGCGAGTGCAAGGGGTGCCTACGCGCGCACGTTTGTCTCTTGTCGCGCCTACGCGGACGCCTACACAAGAAAATCGCGCGCTGCTTTCTTCCAGCTCGAGCTTTGCAATGCCAAGTCAATCGATGTCTGACACAGATGCAGATGATGTAGAAGAAGCAGATGATGTGGAAGATGATTGCACCGCCAAAGCGTGATAACATGTTTGACTTCCCAGCGATCCCCTTTGTCGTGGCTCTGAATCAGCATTTGAGCAGTGTTTTTTTGTGGTTCGGGGCCTATACACCACTTGCGCGCCTACGCGAAGGCCTACGCAAGCCTACGAGGCCTGCGAGGGTGCCTACGCGATCACAAGTCAGCTTCCAGGTGCCTACCTACGCGGGCAAACGTTGAGTTCAAGTGTCGAAGTGCACGCGAATGCCTACGCGGGGCCTACGCGGAGCCTACGCGAAGACTGCAGAACAAACAGAAGGAAGGCAAAAAAAGCAAATTCCTTCATACGTGGCAAACAGTCATGATTTGTTCAACAAACGCCTACGCCAAAAGCCTACGCGAGGGGTGACACAACAGCCTGCGCGCTGAAGCCTACGCGAGCCTACGACCCCAACCAGGATTGCCTCCGCTAAGTACATGCAGTTCCCTTTTTGTATACACTCTTTCATTTGTTTAAAAAACACTGCAGTGGACAATGTTCGCCAACCGCTTTGACAATTCTTAGCCATGTTGGTTCAAGAACCCTTTTCTCAGTGTGTCTGCAACAACTCAGCCAAACCCATGCC